AGTTGGTAGCACTGTTGCCTCGCAGCAAGAAGGTTGCCGGTTTGCGTCCCAGTGGGGGCACCAGAATCTTTCTGCGTGGAGTTTGCATGTTCTCCCCATGCAGCGCAGGTTCTCTCCAGGTTCTCTGGCTTCCTCTCACAAGGTCCAAAAACATGTTGAGGTTAATTGGAGATTCTAAATTGTCTGTAGGTGTGAATGTGAGTGTGCTTGGTTGTCTGTCTCTAAGTGTAGCCCTGCGATGGACTGGTGACCTGTCCAGGGTGTCCCCTGCCTTCGCCCTAAGTCAGCTGAGATAGGCTCCAGCCCCCCTGCAACCCTAGTGAGGGTTAAGCGGTGCATAGGTAATGGATGGATGAATGGATATCAATATGTAAATACAAGTATAATTTTTTAAGTTATTCTATTTGGACATCAGATGGCCAGACAGATGCAGGCATTGAGGAGTTACTCAGGGATTAGAAAAGTGGAAACTGTTTCCATTTGTGTAATAAAAGGGCTGCCAAATTTCATTCAATTTAAAAGAGATGATTTATAAAGTAAATGTTCAGGGATGGCATAGCGAAGAGTGTCTTTAAAAGGGAATAAATTGGAGAGGGAGATCACTTCCACTTTAGCTCTGATGAAACGCCTCCAACATAGATGAGAAATGCCACAAAGTTGCACTGATGACTTAATATTGCTTCTGAACTTCTTCACAGGGTTGTAGCTGCAGTAGGTTTGCACTGCATATTCCAAGTGTCTGAGATTGTTGACAAAATGTCAGACCCAAAACCCTATGTGGATGTTTTTCATGCAACTTTTAGATCAACTCAAAGTGATGATTTAAATATTTACACCCTATGCAGCGATTTATCAAACCATCATGTTGTGTGATACTGTTTGTATTGTATTAAGAGCAAAGAAAGATAGTTGAAAAATACTGATTTAACATAGTGTACAAGGGAAATCATGTGTCTCATTTTAAGGCAACAGCATAAACCTCCTGGCTTTCTCTTATGTTTGAAATTATTATGACTTAAAATCTGAAGGTTTAATGGAAGACAAAATGAGGAAATGTTAGAACATGTTGACCCAACAATACATTCAGAACAGATCCATTATTAGGTGCAATTTTCAGTTATTTTTTGTTGAAAATGTAGCTCTAGCGTGCTCTTGTGATTTAGTATTGCTCATCGGTATAATGATCTGAAGCAGTAGAAGCTTATATCGTCTAACTTTTTGTCCTTGGCTTGGGTCAATCGCCAACATCCTGCATGCCTCATCGCAGACCTGTAGTACAGCCGGTTTGTAACCAAGCTTGCAACTTTGAAGCTGTCACATTAGAAATGAATCTTTGTTTTACATTCTGAGCAGTAATCTGTGAGACCAGTAATCTGAACTTTATGTGTGAAATCAGCAGAGTACCAATTTAAGAAGTCTAAAATTAAAATCTAAAGGCTCATGGTTATGCTGTCTCTGAATGAAAGGATATACAGTGATAAGAATATCCAAGGCTTCACAGTTTGTCTTCATTGTGCTTCTGCTGCCATCATCTGTTCAGGAAAAATACCTGCAGTCAAAGTTCAACACCAAAAGCAACTTGTGTAAATCTAGCACAGACTGAAGTGCAATCAAGCTCAGTTAAATTCACGTATAAAAAAAAAAAAATCCCACTAAGATTGTGAAATCAACAACATACCTAAAGTTACAAGTGCTTCTTTTTAAATCTCAATTAAGATGTTCTGTTTCTCTCAATACTGAAATTCTTGTCACATTTGCGTAAACAAGGAGACTTATAATCTGGATTTAGGAGTAAATATCAGGTTTATAACTGGAACTTTAACTGGGCGTGTACTGCAGTGTAAACCTCAGCCGTGTGTTTCCTTATGTTTCATCATAGGTGTTGTCTGGTTTATGGAAAAACACTCTGCATTTTATGGTAGCAAAAGATCGTTTATTGTGGGCCAAATGCACGATTTAATGTGGTCAGCTGAGGCCTGGATGGATACAATAGATAGCATGCTAGATACAATCCACTATCGAGCGTGAGAGGCCTAAAAAGCAAACTTGGCAGCAGACTTTGCTTGCCTTGTGTCAATTTAGTTTCTTATAAATGGCTGGACCAGGCATACTTCACTCTCTAGTGGTTGAACAATTAACCAAATAGCTGTCAAGGCAGAATGAATGATTAACTTTAAATATACTTAAATATTTTTCTGGAAAATAACAGAGTAAGAACACAGAGTACGGACATTACAGCACAACTTGTAATTAAAGAAACTGCTCGACATGTACAAGTGTTGGGCTGCTTCTCATGAGGAATGCAACATGTTGTTCTTATCTTATTTAGTCAGCAGATATGGTCAGATGCTTTACTCTGTTCCACAGATTGTGTGTTTTCATGCCACAGAAAAGGGCAAAATGTTATTACTTATTATTAAAGTGTGTAGGACGCTGGACTGGTAGGTCACACTGTGCTGAGTAAACAGCCTGAGCCGCTGTGTTTTCCTCCCGGAGGTCTGCCTCTCTGGCATTAGCAGACCTATCTGGTTCCTTTAGGAAGCTTGAACAAACAGGAGCACTTTAACTGCAGCGCCCACTTTACAGCCTCTATGCTGTACATCAGCCGCCATTTTTATTTCTCTGTTTTTTTTTTTTTTTTCCTAAAGAGGGCGGATTAGTTCAGGTGTGTCCCGGCTTAACCATTAAACACAAATTTTATGCAGCTGAACTTTCGTCTGCTGACCTCTTCAAATCACTGAACACTGGGACTTTCAGCTGAGCTTTGACAAAACACTGTCATTGTGCTCTTTGTTGCTTGGGGGAAATGTTGGATAAGATCTTGTTCCTACTTTGTTTGGCGGCTGCTCTGGCGGACCAGCGCTGTATGCCAGGTAAGAGACCTCTTAGAATGTGGATTTTGGTTAAATATTTTAAATATTAACATTCTCTCACACAATGTACACACAGGTGTTGTTGTTGTACGACCACCAGTTCAATAGCGTGTCCTTATTGCCCCACCAGTCAGCGTGGAATTCAGCTTCTAATCTCTTTTAGTCAGATTAGACACATAATTCAGATGTTTGCCTCACAGCAAGGGGTTTCATTACATATCAGCAATGATCCCAAAACGTGCGCTCAACTATGGTTACACTATGAGGAAACAGAATAGAAAATGTAGCCCGATGAAGCTTGAAATGACGTTGACTTTACCTAACAGTGCTTGAGCTTTGATTTATTCGTCAGGACAAACTGGACACACTGCAGCTACATTATTTATTGAAAGCTTAGGACAGAAATGTTTGGCACGTAGAGGAGATTTTAATATGCTTTATCTTTATAGGGGCTCCACAAGGCTTCCATGTTCGTCTCAGCATCAAAACTGCTCTTGGAGATGAAGCTGTATGTGCATGTTTACTATGTTATATACAGCTTGTATTTCAAAATATCACATATATTAATAGTAATGTATTTAATATTGTCCACAATTCTCTTAAAACTGCTCACTGTGAGGACATGTGGTGGTTATTTAAAGGTCTTTAGTGATCTGATGTTGTTAATGTTGCAGTACGTCTGGAATGAAAATGAAATGTTCCTTTTCCGAGCGTCTCTGGCTTTTGCCATGAGGAATCACATGGGAGGACAGCAGTTTGAGTGAGATTTATTTATTTTTTTAATATATTTGCTGTTAAGTGTTTCATGGAATAAGCCTCAACTTGTAAAAACATAACGAGATCTGTGACTCCTGGTTTATGAACGTGACGTGGTCTTTATTGTCTTGTGGAACTTTACCAGAGTGTCAAACATCATCGTGTGCAATGAGACCGAGAGAGTTTCCTTCTGGTTCGTCGTGACGTCGCCGTTGGACACTTCACAGCTTATTGATCAAGAAAACGTGGAGGTTGCCGTGAGGTAGTCACATGACACAGAGACACTGTAGCTCTAGTTGAAAATATTCATTATCAATATTACATTATTTTCTCCGGAGAGGTCAGAGGTCACATTTAACTTGACTTTCAGAGTCAATGTTGCAATTTTATTGTTTTTAAGTGCTGTCCTTATCAATGAGGAGTCATTTCTTTTTTCTTTTTTTCTTTTTTATTGTGGACATTGAGAAAAATTGTTCTAACAAACCAAAAGCACTCAGTTACATAACATCATTTTTACATTCAGATGAATTTAAGCCAAACTGTTGTGATTTTGACCTCATTTGCTAAGCTAAAGTGAAACTCATTTTGTTAAACAATGAGTTGTGGGAAAGGGTAAATACTAAACCCTAGTTTACCAGGATTATAAACAGACACGGCTCATAAAGTTGGTACACTTTTACATCAATGTTAGGAATTAGGAATTCAACTTGAAGAAGAATATGATCATGTAAATTCGTTACTTTGCTAACATTAGCAACCGTAAGCTTAAACCACACCAAGTTAGACCATATCCAACAAATCCAAAGTTTTTTGGGGGGTCTCTTTGAGCAACCACCCTGAATAAGGGTGAATGAGGGTCTGAAGAAGGAGAGTGGGGGAGTTTAGCTAACATTAGCTATAGCCACCATAACCTCAAACCAGACCAAGAGAAACGAGTCTGGTGTGACCAAATGTGTGTTGTTATGGTAATGAATCCAACTTATCATTTTTTAATAACAAGATGCTAATGTGAATGTGGTCAACATCCTACAGTAAAGGTGTGTAAATGTGTATTTATTATTGTTATTATTATTATTACTATTGTTATTATTATTATCATTAGGCCAACAAGAGCCACCATAAGCCAACACTGTTGCATGTACGGCCACAGTAGCAAAACACTGGAGTGTGTGTAAGTAAGCACGAGTTAGGGTTAGTTACTGTGTTGTATTCGTTGCCTGTGGATCCAACTTCACTTGGATTTGAAAGCCGTTCATTTACCAGCATTCTCATTTAAATTTCAACATTCAACACTTCAGCTGACCAGTAATATTGAAACAGATGTCGATACATTTTCATTGAAAAGTGAAGTTTGTTGTTTGTTTTTTTTGTAGTAACCTCTTGTAAGAAACAGAGGTAGAACTTTGGCAGTAACCTAAAGTGGAACAGTTGAGGTTTGATCAGTATATGTAATGTAGGCTTTATTATTACAAGTATGTCTACAATAGCTAATAAGCAACAATATTAGTTATGCAGGTCAGCCTTTGTTGCAACTCTCATTTACTTCACCAGTTTTTGGCCTTGCTGTACAGTAAGCTCAAATAATGTGTCCAGCCTGACGTCTTACCTTTGGAGATTTTCCAGGTTAAAGTGACTCCAGGAGATGGTCAGGGAGGCCTTGGACACTGTAGATCTCCCCAGATTCTGACACAACTTGACCAGCCTGCTGATTTTATTGGAGAAGAGAGGCGGTCTTGAAGTGATGTTGCGCTGTATAGAAACTAAACCTGGCTTTCAAGTAAAGCAAAAGGAAGATTTCTAGTGTAGACTTTGTAACACACATTTTGCGATGCATCTGGACACATAATCAGGGATAATATCAGGTGTTACAAGTGTGATCTGTCAACAATTAAACCTCATCTTGGCAATACTCCTACTAGTACTACTACTACTATTACAACTACTACCATTGTGTTGACAGCAATTTAGATTAGCTGTGAAAGATAAAAGAAATAAATATTAAGATAAATTAAATGAAGAACATAAAGTAAAGTAAATAAATGAATAAGGATAATGGAGTGTGAGTGTTGCATGTATGGACACATAGTTAGGTTCTTAAGAAAGAAAAAGAAAGAAGGGAGAAAACTATTTAAGACATTTAAAAAAATAACAATAAGCAACAGTGGGTATTGGTAAAACTATATGACCACTACTTCTTATCCACAGCCACATTTAGGCAACTTCTGCTGCTTTAGTGACCAACCTAACAGCCCAGCATGGTATAGGCCCTGCAGACGGACTGGCCCGCTGCATACCTGCTTGATGCATTCACTTTGTTTTGTCACAAACTTATCATACTTCCCTTTATCTAATCTCCAGAAGGACAAACTTCTTGTAGGCCTTGAAGCGCAGCCCCACATCTGGCCTGTAACAATGACATTCTTTCAGCACTTCAAGTTGCTTCCTCGGGTTCACCTTCCAGTTGTGAACGTCACTAAAAAAGTACTCAGAGATCCACTGGAGGAGCCGCTGTAGAAAAAGTTGCCAATAAAAATGTTCCTGATCAAGATATGCCATGATACAAAATATGCAGCAAAATGTGACTTACAATCGATAAATGTTGACCTGAAACTAGTCAGAATTCACAAGAGTATGGCAAATGGTGTTGCAAATATAACTGACTAAAGGCTGTTAAAGTTGTAAAATGTGAACGTAAGGGAAACTTAATGGGTCTGTGTATCTGCCAGGTCTTGTTTGTTTCAGGAAATCTGATCACTAATTAACTTGTCCTGACCAATCAGTGGTGCTAGTTGAGGCTTTGTTTGCTTTTTCCAATTCATTGTCTTTACAAATGTATAACTTGGTTTATATCATCATGTTTCTAGGGTTCTACCAGCGGGGTTTTCCCCAGAATAATTATTTCAAATCCACCCTTGCTCTTTTCTCCAATAGAAAGTCCAGGAATCGCATCAACGGCGCCTTCCTGCTGAATGATAAGACTCTGGAGTTCATCGGCATCCTTCCCACCCTGGCAGCACCGTTCATCCCTGCCACCCCTCCGTGGCTCATTGCTTTCGGGGTGGTCATGGGTGCCGTTGGCGCTGGCATCATCATCATGCTCGTTTCCTCTGTGGTTCAAAGGAAACGGTGAGTAGATGATGGCAGACGGTTTCATTTATCTCAATGAAAGTGCGACAGCTGAGGCTGATCGGTCTCGTTTCTCCTTCCAGCAAGGCGAATGAGAAAACACGTGACGAGGACAATGATGAAGAGACTCGAGTGAAAACGGTGGAAAACGGCGCTGCACGTGACGGTGTTTACAACATGTCATTCTCAGAAGATGAACGATTCACAGAAATGTAAACCACTCCTAACACCAACACTTCCTTGTAAGCAATATAGTGAGGGAAAAAGTTATCAAGCAGCTCCATGTGGAATTTTGTTGCACTGTAATGTTTAGATCTGTGTGCGAAATCATGTGATTTTAGTTACAGATACTAATTTAAAGAATTTATGATTTAATAAGTCAATGATTTTATTTTAGAGGTCATCTGCTGAACATTTCAATACCGCCATGACGATCTGCCTTTAAAAAGAAACCAATTCCTGTCATTTTTTGAAGCCGCTATTTTCATTTCACAAATAAATGTGAACGCTTCTGGTGTTGAGAGACGGGAACTAAAGATCTCTGTGTGACAGGGCAAGTGTGTGGATATTTTGCGCTCTTTCAAAGGAAATCCGGTAACTTTGCTAACCATTTACAAGCAAGAAAGACGATAACCTTGCAGCCTGCTATTGTGTATTTCATAAAATGCTGTGTCAGAATACTCACAGATTTCCTTATCTGTACTCAGTGTTGGTGCAAACTTCTAGAAATACGTCTGAACAAAGGTGAAACAGCGGTCACCTTAAAGTGCAATGCTCTACTGCCTCCTGCCGTCCATTTGGGGTGAAGTGACAGGTCATTTCCCCCTACACTGGTTTCACATGAATTGTCCTTTTTTCACAGATGTTTAAAGAAACACGTCACATGTTCCCAGGCAGCAATTTAGTTTAGTGTTACCGACTGTTTATCCCTTTATGATCCCATGAATTGAAGTCAGGTATTAGTTTTGACTCATTTAACTAAAAAGTGATTTCTTCTCTTTGTTATTAAAAAAAATGGAACTGGACAATTCGATGTTTTATTCCTGATCTCATGTCACCGCTTTATATACTTATTCAACCATTTATGGGTGCTGAAAAACATCAGTTTGTAGAAAAATTGTACAAAAATTCCTGGAACCAGGAGGAGTATCTGACAATATGAAATAGATATGACTCTACAGAACTGACACGGACACATTAATCATGATAAATGGTACTTATCAGTCTCTGGTCCTAGTACAACAAATCGGTGCAGAATGAGCTCAAGCAGATGCACTCCAATTTAAAGGATAATTCCAGTTTAGCTCTGCCTGGTGTATTTCCCATTAACATTACTGTTGTGACTCTGTTGTTCATGCCAACTTTGTTGGTTTTTGTTTTAAATAAAATAGCCGCCTGGAATGGCAAAATGGAAAATGTGCTAAGGAGTGAGGATGTGTGAGGAGGCTCGTCGGTGGAAATTAAGAGCTAAACCTCTGAAAACTGGTGGTCTTCCTGTACTCACGGCACTGAGAAGGAAAACTGTTGCTGCAAAAAGTGAAACCTGTTGATGCCTGTTTTGGAAAATGTCCACAGATGAGAGTAATATCCCACCGGCAGAACTATGACGAATGACTTTAATAAACACTGCCATCCTGGAGACGGTGTTTCACCTCCTAAAAATCAACTGCGAAAAAAGACCAAGACTGTAAGCAAGACATTAAATGGAAAGCTATCCACAACCTCACTCATGTCAACAAATCAATATGAGTGGATAAATATTCAGGGTGAACAAGCCAGTTGGCAAATCAGATCAGCACTGCACTTAGCAAAAGACAAATTCAACAACAAACATGAACATGAAATGATTTGCATAAAAAACGCATCTTTTGGAAAGCTGGAGCAAGATCAGGCTTTCTGCTCCAAGAAATGTTGCTTTGTGTAACTCCTTCTAAGCCACGTATTATCTCGACAACGAAGGTGGAGGATGCAATGTTCGTGTGTCCCCACAATAGCCACAACACTGGGAAACGATCCTTTAAACTCAAACGGAGTCATAACTCTAACTATGCACTCAAAGCAAACAAGCCAAATGAAAATATTGATTGCAGAATTTATGGAAAAATGAACAAAACAATGCTGTTTACAGAATATCACGGCCATTTAAACCAAGAGCACTTTTTCCCCCACAACCTTACTGTAGTTCTGAAAGCTCTCCAGTGCAGAACAAAAAGAGCTTCTGTAGATTAACTACAAAGACCTGCTCGTCTGTTCTGTTTCTCAAAAATGACATCCACATTTTCTCATTGCTATGACCTGAACAGCACCATCTTTATGACATACATAGGTATCGATTCATTCATTTAATTTTTTTTTTTACATTTTCATCGTGTAAAACAAAATCTCCAGGATGAGATAAAGTTGAAGGCCTCATAACTTTGTCTATTTTTGACCTCTAACCCCCAATAATTTTCGCTCTTAGCTTCACCAGTTGAAGCCCACTACATGGATTTTGGCTTTAAAGAAAACCTAAAATTACACCTTGTTACGAACTATTTGTTGTGACTTTTTTTCAACACAGCGCTTCAACGACGGCACAGATGCAATCCATATGTTTAACTTTAGGTGGCACCATCGTACTGTCAGCCTCTGCCTCAACAAACACCGACGTCCTCCATTCACAGCACTTTTCTTAGCACTCTTTAAAGTGTGCTTCAATGGCAATGTACCTTTAAAACATTTGAATTTCAAACATATGTTAATTTACTGTTATTTTATTTTTGTCTGACTAATTTTGAAGTGATAGTACAGATCGACTCTCACGCTCTCATCTATATTTAGTTCCTTGTTAGATTAAATGTGTTCCTGTGATCTGCGAAGAAACTTGTCATTTGCACAATATTTTGCTATGCTCTCCTAGAACTGGCAGTAATATGTCAAAAGATATGCGGATAATATGCAGCGTGATGACTGGTTATCATTTGGCCCCAGTCCCTTTTTACTCTGCATTTCATTTTCTTGCCTGAGGAGTCCACTCTCTCTTTTACAGCTCATTTTTCTTGTCAGGACGCCAAAGATTTTCTGTCAAATTTAGTTCAAAAGCATTCCAATCTTACTAGAACGCAGCGGATTAAGACCTGAATTCCCACCGTAGAGGAATACAGGAAGTGGGAATAATTGCACAGAGTCAAATACGTTTTATCATATTATTGAAATAATGTCATTATTTTAATAACTCATCCTGATACCTTGTGAATAACAAATGAGTTTTGAAATAGCTATATAAATGAGTCATTTTCAAATGACAGATTGCCCGAAAAACATTACGCAATCTTGAAGTAAATGATTATTTTGCTGTTGTCTGTCTTCAGGGTTCATCACAAGAACAATGTGTGTGTGTGTGTGTGTGTGTGTGTCTGCTGCTTCACATAATGGCTTTTGCCTAATTTTGTCCCTTTAAAAGGTGGAAGATAAGTAAGCCTCTGGAGATAATTCTAGACGAGCAAACACAAGAGTGAATTATAAATAATCTTGTGTGGGTGAAATTACGGGGAACATTGTATAGCGTGCGCTTGTGTCTGCAACAGTTTAATAACTGGGGATCAGACACTTAATTTCCTGTGTGATTAATATCCAGCTCCCAAAAAAACTCTCGCCCAATAACCACGAAAGCCGAGGTTGATGTTTATCTACATATGGACATTATTTACTGTACTCTCACAACAGTACACAAGTCTTTGACAGTGACAGTCTAATCATTTCTAACTGTGCAAATTGCATAGTGAGCAGGTTTTTCTACTGTAACAGTGAATAAATGCAGGTCTGTGTCTCTCTGTGGAGCTACATGGTATAAATGTATACAATGAGACTCCTTTGAGAGGCTCTGTGAACACATGGCAGTGTAGGCCTGCATCATGTACGCTCGTGTAGGTTTTAAAATTCTCCAATTCAGATGCAAATGCATTCAAATTCAAAGGATCTTCTAGTGAGTGTGCCCCTATTAAACTATTAATATTAAATATCACAATTCAAGTCAATATTTGATGAGGCCTATTTTCGAACAATGCAGCTTTCAGGGCTTCAGAATCAATATTTTAAAAAAAGTTAATTTTTCATAACTTTAGCTTTGAAAGCCCAAGTGCATTATTAATATCAGTTACAACAGAAGTGTGAAAAGTGACAGGTTCCATATGCATTTTCTAAACACAGTGGAGGTGAAAACTATACGCCGTGCACTGATTGCACCACAAATCTTCACTATACTGGCAGCCTCCTGGATTTTTCCTGGCAGGGGGCAAAAACAAGACGATTTCTGTCAAACGCTGTGTGTTCTCCCACCCCTGCTGTGTTTAAAATCCATCACTGTCGGGGGATGTTCTCCTCTCTCAAACTTTTCTTTTATTGCAGTCTAGAAATCCCATCTCTGCTGTTCTTTCTCTTTGTCCTCACTTTGTTTATGAGTCTCACTGAGAGTAGCCTCTGCCGTTACGCCTCCCTCAGTCGCTTCTCCTCCACCACCACCACCACCACCACCACCTCCTCCTTCCTTCTCCTTCTCCCGGTCTCGGATGATCTCTACGAGCCTCTGAAACTTCTGGTTTAACTCCTCCATCCCTCCCACCACTCTCATGTCGTCCTTCTCCCCGTCGCTCTCCAGCGAGCTCAGTGACTCGGCCCTCGAATCGCGGCCCTCAAACTCATAAGTCTGCAGCGAGTCGTAGGGCGGCTGAGAGAGGTCAAAGGTGACCTGATCCAGACGGATGTTCAGGAGCTCTTCCATCCGGAGAGGCTGCGGGGCGGCTGCTTCTGTTCTCCCAGGCTCCGCCCCGCACGCCCAGCCTCTGCCATTGCTGAACATCCCCCCAGGTAAGGGCAAAGACGGCGAGGTCAAATCCTTTCTCTGGAGTCTGCACATGTTCAGTAGCTGCAGCCCCGTTGGGTACAACCCGCCGCCGCTAGTCCCGTTCATACACGTCCCTCTGCTGTTCGGATTCAGCGAGCCCACAATGCTGTACGTGTCTCCTTTCAGGTAAACGGGAGGGTTTCCGCAGCTCGTCTGACTGCCATTTGAATAATTTCGCTCTGAAACGGAGGGAATGGAGGAATCAGTATCAATGTCATCCACCGTGCAGCTGGTGGCTCCAGTGCTGATCTGAGTCTGGGATGACCCCGGTCGGCCCTCTTGCTGGTTTGATGAGAAGCTGGTGCGACTTTGGCATGAAGACTCATTGGGGTCGGAGTAGGTCAGATCCGCGGCGATGTCGGCTGGTGTCGACTCCGTTTCTGTGGGGTTTATCTGTAAGAGAAGACGGGCGAAGTAAGAAGATTTTAGAAGACCTGGGGAGATAATGGTGTGGAAGGTAAAAGAGGCTGAAATCATTTCTTTTTTAAAAAGATGATCGTGCAAGTTGATCACCATTAAATGCTTAATGCTGAAATTTAAATACCATTGAAGTGATTACTGAAGTCAGGCTATCCATCTGAATTTATGTGGTTTAGGTTGGACATTATCAAGTTTTGCGATTTCAAAACCTTTTTGAGAGGCATGTGTGTGATAAATCATGCTTCTTATTGCTTATCTAAACTACTTCTTGATTTATGTGACTAACAGAACTTAATCCGATTCAACAGTAGATTCCATTATGACCCAATTTTGTAAGCTTGGTAGACTGGATGTTTAAGTTCTGAAGTTAAGTCTTGAATTTCTGTTTTTAATTATATTTGAAGTTTTGGTTAGTCCCTGATAAATCCAGAATAATAAAAAGTGCTTTCTGATACAATATGGACACCAAATCTCAATAAATGTTGAATCTAACCATTCAGCTTTGAGCATCCAGATATTTTGACCTAATGTGATTTTTATATTTAGCTCTCCGAACATCGTACATATATATATTTTCTGCTGACTTCTTGGATTTGTAAACAAACAAACAGAAATAAAAAGATCAAATTCCAAAGTCACATAAATATATATGCACACATATTTAAAGTGCAACATTAAATGACTGAAAACTTTTTTTTAATACTACTGAAGCATCTGTATTGACAATGAATGATGAGATTCTACACATTTTGCACACAGATTTTTGTCTGTGTTTTTCTCTGGTTTAAAGAGGCCGAGACTTTGTTAGAAAAAGCTGATGTCAGTTGCCACCATTTGAATCACAATCTGATAAAGGAAGCAGATTTAACATGAAGCAGATTAGCTCCTTTTTAAAATTGCTGCATATTTGATCCTAAATATTTCAGCCTGAGATTTTATCTTCAATTGTGAGTTGTAATACCATTTCACAGTAGGTATTCACTTGCTTATGAGATTGAAATACTCGCGCCCTTCCTTCAGTATAGTCATTAGATTTTTCTCTCTGTCTTTCTCGCTGTTGTCTGACCTTGGCCTGGTCTTCATTCTCTTTGGTGCCAGCTGCGTTTGTTTCACTTCCCTCAGATCTGTCTGCAGATTTGCTCTTCGCCAGCATGTGTTCTGATTCGAAACTTCCAGGGCTCATCTCAGGGGAGCGCAGAAGAGGCTCAAAGGTGCTTTGGTTCTGGATGACGAGGGAATTGCCGAAGTGACCTCCGGCGAGCCCGTGGGTCAGCTGGGTTAGCTGCAGCCCTGCCTCGAGTGGCCCGCCTGGATAATCTCTGAGAACAGGCAGTGTGTGGATGCCATAGCAAAGGCGTCCGTAGAGCGGAGCAGAGCCTGGGCGCTGCTGAGGGTCTAGGCCGGGGCGCGTGTGACGACTCCAGCTGTACGTCCTGGCCCTTGGCGGATTCTGCTGGGTGTACCATCTGTGCCAAGAGATAAATGTCAGAGAAGCACACGGTCATACACAAACACGCACACACTCCCACAAGCCACCATGGCAAGGATAAACTTTGTTTTTTTATTTATTTTTTTATTTTATTTTTGGGAACAGCTCACATGTTTCTGTTGTTATGCATGTGCTGTATTCTGTGCATGCTCTGCAGCGCTGTAATGTCAAAAGCTGCGGTGTCGGCCTCCCCTCCCCCCTCGTCATCATAGGATATGATGTTCTCCCTGACATCATCCTCCTCAAAGGGTGAGTGGGAGTCTCGTTTCTGATGGCGCAGTGACAGTGAGAGTGCACACACCACTAAAGGACAAAAAAAAAAAAATAAGGGACACGAGACCACACACTCTTTAGATGTTGCAGAGGGAACCTGACAAAACTGCTTAGTGTCTTTCAAAGAGTCACAAACAACATATTCACAGAGAAGAGACCAAACCTACCCAGCAGAGTGGTGACACAGGCCAGCATGGCCAGCAAGGTGACCAAACTGAATATGAGGGATGGAGAGGCGGACGGAACGGGCAGACAAACCATGTGCCTCTCCCATCTCCTGTCCCTCTGTCGGCCCCTGTCCTCCGTCTGCATTCCCCCCCGCAGACAGGGACAAATGGTCACAGTGACTGTGCCAGTGTTGGTCAGACCTGAGGCCCCGTCGCGCAGCACAACTGGCACATAGAGGGTGAGTAAAGATGAAGAGAAGCCAGGGAGAGGCTCCAAGGCTGACTGGAGCACCAGGCTGGCTGTCACACCTGATAACGTGGCAAAGAAATCACACATCAAACACGGTCAGTGCACAACAAGCATGTACCAGTTTTGGCCGGTGCCGAGTTTCTGGGTTCTGCGTGAAATTACAAAAAAGCAAAAAAACAGAACCACGCCAACCTCCGGTTTCCCTGATGGTGAGGTTAACGGCAGAGCTGGACTCAGGCGGGATGCTGAAGTGGACCGGGGCGTCCTGCCCTCCTTGGTCCTTGTCGATGGCTCGTAGAACCTGAACTACCTGCAAACAAAAATGCTCTATGTGAGTAATAACCACAGATAAGAACCTCTGGAAGTTTTCTATTCCTTTTTCTGACAACTAAATTATTGAAACTCACCCATTCTGTCCAATTAGAATCCCTTGTTGATATGCAACATGTGATCAAAGGTTTGCTAGCAGTTTTATATTATTCATTGTTGTTACCTTTGCAGCGAAAGCCATACAGTGAATTTACATACTGCAATTACTTCTCTATAGAGCAGGTGTCATTGTCAGTGGCGGGTTCTGTCACAAGGGATTTACGGGAGAGAATAAAGCGTGTGCTGCAGTGTTTCTAATTTTACATCAGTTAGTGTAACGTTTTAAGTTACTGCAGATGCAAACCCTTAACTGCAAACAGTAGCTTGTGCTTTATAATAAAATGTATTTTATTTTAATGCTCTGATTTTATTTGCTCCACTGCAGTTCAGAAAGGTTTTAAATTGTGTGCTATCCATATAAAACACTTCAACAACTTTGTGTTGAAAACTCCTGTATAAATCCAGTTTATTATTGTTATTATTATTATAATTATTATTACTACTGTAAACGTATTCAACTGGTGAAACATGGGGAGGCTGTAATTGTGAAGTAGTCACAAAAAACACAGACTGACCGCTCATTGATCATTTTTCTGACAGGCTTTAAAAATGCACAGCATGAAATTAGATCACGGCTGCATTTGTTTGTTTAGCGACCTTTGTTTATTGAAATGATCCTTCACTTGGTGTTCCCATGGTTACCATAGATTTAACCAAATCAACCAGAACTGAGTTGTCAAGATTTACTACCTTAAAGTCACACAAATTTGGGTGTTTTCAATTCAGTGTAACAGGCAGCATAGCTTATTTTTGATGCTGTTATCTTTAAAGGAATAACGCCTGAGGAATACTAATCTGACATTTTATTTAACCTGCAAGTCCCTTGAAATAAAACTGTGTTTTGATGGAGAACTGGCCGAGAAGTTACAAAGAATGATAAAATCAAGCATGACAACAATAAACATGCAACAAAAGCAAAGCACATTACAACAATCAAGGGACTAAAGATATACAAAATAAAATCCAGCTTCGAAATAGCAATTGCACTTTTCAGCTCTTTTTATCAGAGCTTTGAACTCTCCCAGGGAGACAAAATCATTAAGCTGTAGTGTGTTTTGAAGGTTATTCGAGGACCAGGGCGCAAAATAATAATTGGTAGTAAAAACACAAGTAAACCATGATGAGTTGGTGTTGTGTCCACTCTACTTTAAAAACAGAGAACCACAATAAATTCAAGTCAACAGCGAAAACGGGAAAAATTCTACAGGTTATCAGAAACAGCCTCTTGCAGAAGCTGGAGACAGAACGGATGAAAAACAAGAGCACAGTCTGAAGTTAAATGTAATATCAGGCAAAAACAAAACAAGAACGGACCTGACCGGGGGCACTGGAGTCACATACTGATGTTGTGTATTGCCTGTCCAACTCTGGCGCATTGTCATTCTGGTCTAGTGTCTCTATGGCAACCACAACCCTTGACACAAGATTTGGATTGTCTGAAAGAAAAGGAAAGCGACACTAATGTTGAAATGATCAGAGAATTTCAAACCATTTTCGCTGCACACTTTGTATCCCCTACTGTAGGCAGTGCTCTCAGTGAAATATGACTTTGGTGAGCTCTGTTGCTCATAGCGCCTGAGGGCAGAGGGGCTGACATACCCCTCTGTGTGGCGATGACAGTGATATTATGCCACTGCTCCTGCTCACGGTCCAACTCCATCACTGTGCTGATAAAGCCCGTGTCAGAGCCGATGCGGAACAGAGCCTCAGGGTCTGACTGGGGATCGATGGAGTACCTGGGAAACAGAAATGGGTACTATCAAGAATAGGAGGGGAAAAAGAAAGCCCAGAGAGCCCTGAGTGAGCGACTAAATGAGTGAGTGATGGTGTAATAACCACCTGATGTTGCTGCTTTGTCCTGTGTCTGGGTCCACGGCGTAGACCCGACCAACAGAGCAGACGGGGGGGCAGTTCTCAGACACATCCAGATGGTACAGAGCATGGGAGAATTGTGGCGGCTCATCAGCATTAAGGACCATGACCCGGACTGTTGCCTGGTCCTTAAAGGGACCTTTCCTTATGTACCGGGCGTCCACTATAGGGTTTGCAACTTCCACGGAGAAAGTGTAAGAGCTGCGGATTTCATAGTCCAGGAGCTGTTGGGTGATAAATAAAGCTGTAAGCTGCATTTTATTGAAGGCCATGTTTATATATGATTAACCCTCTGAACCACCAAACCGTCCTTGTGGGTTTAAAAGGCATGTTGTCTTCAACAAATCATGAAAATTACACTATTTATCAAAGCCAGAATCTGTAAAAACAGAAAGAATTGTAAGATTTTCAGTCTTTAAACTACTCATATCTGAAAATTGCTTACATTTTAAACTTCAAACTGTGATATTCCATCAAAATCACTTTACTCTGCATGTCTTGTTTAAAAAAGAGTTGCTCACAGGAACGAGGCTCTGCAAAAAACAAAAAATTCCACACTCCTTGTTACAATTATGAAGCTGGTACTGGCTCAGCGCTGACCAACAGTCATGTGATAAGAATTCAGGGATTATTTAACTTAACTGCAGGCTGTGCATACACAGAGCAGATGGAAGCAAAATAAAAATATAAGTAGTTAAATGTCTATAATATGTACAGCCACCATCTTTTGCCAGTATTAGTGACACCTGTGAACATTTGGGAACATGTTTTACATGCTGATTCCAGTTCTTTTCATTTTTTAATTTTTTGTTTTAGAAAATAACTATTCAAAAATTCAAATTTCATTTTCTCTTTTTTAGGATTTATGGCATTGTATCTTTGCTTTACTGCTAAAATATATTTTGGAGTTCTCTCTATTTCTAGTCATGATTGTGTCGTTTCCATAAAGGTGCAGGACATCACATTGCAGTAAAAAATAAATCCATGGTGAGTAAAAATGTGATGGTGAAAAAAAAAAATTGCTTTGGGTTCAGAGGGTTAATATGTACATTAATCTACTTCGTAATTCATTTAAGATACCTTTCTCTCTTTTCTTTCTATATAACATACCTTCCATTTTGGACTTTCCTTTTTTATCTGGCTCTAATAAATTTTCATGTAATTACTCATCAGCCCCTCTTCTTCCTTCACTCTCTCCAACCTCTTCATTTAAGGTTCCACAGTACAGTAATTATCGCTGAATGCCCAATGCTGTCAGGGCTCTTAAAAGTAAAAGGACAAATTCACACTGGCTGCTTTTAACATCACCTAATCACTTCAAATGAGCTACAGTGTTTTTTTTTTTTTACTAGCTCATTATTAGTTCATTGTTTCTCATTAACTGCCCATTGTAGAGCCCTGGGAGTCCGAACCTATCAGCAACAGAGGATGTTCGAGTGGAGAGCTGAAGTGTTTAACTGCCTAAAAAATATTAATGGGCAACACCAGACCAAAGCAAATTTGTTTAATTGCCTGAAATACTGCAAATTAGATGTAATGTACTTGCTATGTGGCCTTTTAAGAATAAACACGTACATATAGCCTCAGTTCCTCTGACATTATGAAACCCTTTCTGGTGTTCAAGCTGCTTTATACTCGTCTGGTCGCTCACCTTGTTCAGCACAATGACTGCCTCTTTGTCTCTCCCGGTTACGTTGAATATCTCAGCCTCATCGGCATCCAGGACGGTAAACTCCAGCTGTGCATTTTCCCCCAGATCGGGATCGGTCGCGGTGAGACGGCCCACCTCCACACCTGGAGCTGCTAGCTCCGACACAGAGAACGACCACGCACCTGCGGGAAACAAAACGCTGAATATAACTGTCTGAGCGCTGGCATCGAATCCTAAACGAGGCTGTTGTTCTGCTAAACTCTGTGTCATGTTATTAACATAATGGATGTGGCTGCTCTCCTACACATATTTCATGACCAGGTTTGAATTATTGTTCACATTTTTCCCCAAATTTATCTTAATATGTGACTTGCTTATCCATATGTACTGGAGGAGGCACTGGCTGCTGCATTAATTCTCCTTGTACAAACTGGATATTAAAATATCTCATCCTAATGCAATTCTTAAGTAAGAAATGGGGCATGACATCCAGAGTCCTCAGCTCTTAAGTTCAGCATAAAGCTAATATCATGGAAATGAGGTGAATCTCTTTCAAAGCCACAGTAATTTCAGTGTGGAATTCCCTATTTGTAGGGATGTAAATTTTCGCCTTGTTGAGCTGCAGTGCAGAAATTGGAACACAGAAGGAATTTTGTATCAAAAAGACTCTAACTTGTGAAGATACTCACTTTTTCGGTGTTTTTTTCTATTGGTACTTCACTCTGGCATCAAATTCGATGCTACTAATGATTTTAACGCACATTTAAGGCCTTCGGTTATCAATTATTTTGGCAACATGCGGGATATTTTAGATGTTCTCTCTTTTTCTGAACTAAAGGATTAGTCAGCCAGACAGTCGTGGGTTTTGAAATATTAGTCACACGAAACAAGCTATTTTAAAGACAGCATGTTGGCTTGTGTGAACTTGTGGTGGATATTTTTCAGTATTTTCTACCTTTACACGGACCCAAGGACTTAAAATGAGTAGTGTTGTAGTACTTGAAATTGGTCTTGGTTTTAAGAAAACTTTTTGAAGGTCTCGGTCTCTACTTAGGATTTCAATTTAAGATCTGTCAAGACCATAGACTGTATAAAAGATGGACGTAGCAACCGGCCCTGAAAAATGAAGCCAACCCGGAAGTGTCAAAAACCTGCGCCCGCGAGCTGCTGGCTCCAAAAAGCCCTGGCTCCAAAAAGCCCTGGCTCCTATAGACTTGAATTGGAAAAGAAGTGATCACAGATCATGAAATACCGCATTCCTACAGCTCAGGATTTTTTTCTTATTAGTTTTCATCGTCAAATTCAGAGATCAGGTGGCCAATCTGAATATAAATCAATACTGAATTTTTAAAAAATTGTCAAAATTTTGCGGGGCAAGGGGCGTGGCTGGCTTGATTGACAGTCGGCAGCGACGATACAGACGAAGCGAAGAAGTGCAGAAACCAACGGGTGACGTCACGGTAGCTACGTCCATCTTTTATACAGTCTATGGTCAAAACCACAACTGTGAGAGTATCACTAAATTGCCTGAGCAGTGTCTCATATATTTATCACTACAGAAATTTGAATTTGATTTTAAAATTTTTCAAATGCAACCAGTCACTTGACTAATGTCTATTTTTTGTCTTCGTCATGTCTTGGTCTTGGTTCAGGTGGTCTTGACTACAAGACTAAAAATGAACGCAGTTATTTCTAGGTCTCATCCAACATGATGAGGAAAGCTAGCACAAAATATGGCATGGATTACCTTGAAATGGTACAGATTAGACATTCATGATCCATGGAATATGAGGTCTCCTGACTTTTGTGATCCTGACTTTTTCTCGAGCATGACATCTGTGATTTTAAGTCACAGTTTGTCCAAACTTTAGTGTTTGAGCAAATATGTCCAAAACTGATCAAACTTCTGGCTTGGTGCTAATCAGAGACTTGCATCAAGTTAACCAACTGAGCATGACAACATTTTCTTATGTTGTCTAATGCGCTGTCTGTCATCCTTTTCTCTCTGCTATCCTTTTCACTCTCCCCTTTACCTCGACTGGTTGAGGCAGATGGCCATCCACACTGGACCTGGTTCGGCTGTGAGTTTTTTTCTGGTTAAAAGGGATATTTTTTAAATGTTATTTAATCTGTTGTCAAATTGCTTGCTCAGAGGGAATCATTTGGGTTTGTGTCTATAATATACTGTTGTAACGTCTTTACCTTACTACGTGAAGTGCCTTGAGATAAATTGATGCTATAAAACAAAATGAAACTGAGTTAAACATTCTAAGCTGAAGGCTTTTTACCTGCTAAAATCAGTATGGTAGCATGGTGGCGTGTCTATTTAGCAAGTATTGCACAACCGCTGGACGGATATTCAGACTAGACTTGGAATTGTAGACATTTCCTATTTTCTAGTAATCACAATAAGCTGCATTTATAGGCTACTTTTCTAACAACATTAAAATGTGCTTCAAAAAGTTATTAAAACCACCAACCCCCCCCAAAAAAGCAATAATACGTCTGAAATTAAAATGAAAAATAAATTAAAATTTATACAGATATGAAAGCCTTTTTTAAAAGAATGTTTAAAGAAGAGATTTAAAAGCGTAGATTCAGCTAATCAAATGTTAGATCTCAGGTAAGTCATTCTGTAGTTTAAAGGTTCAGACTACAAAAGTACAACAGACTTTTGTCAGCAATCAGGCGCTGGGAACAACCAGAACAAGAATCTAAAAAGACTTACAGGCTCATATGGACTTAGTAGATCCATAATATAGGTAAGAACTTTATGATGTAAGGCCTTGCAAGCCAACAGTGAATTCTTTTTTGGATCAGAGCAAAAATGAATAGGGAAGAATGAGAGGTCAGTTTGGTAGTTATATGATCTGGTTTTTTGTCCCACCAGCCGCTTTTTGAACCAATTCAAGGCAATGACGAGAACCTTGAGTTATACATTTGACGCTGAAATAGTTGATTAATTGACCAGCCAAATGCTAGAAAAGTAGTTGGCAGCTATATTTTATTTGCTTAACTGGCATTATCAATGTGGCAAACATTTGCTATCCCAAACTACTCAACCCCCTAAGCCTCACTGGCAGCCTTGAAAAGCATGTTATATCCTAAAAATTGCCAAAGTTGCATCATTTTTCAGAGCCAGAAACTTTAAAAACAGAAAGTCTGTTTGGATTTTCAACTTCAGTATGCCACATTTCAAAATTTGACAAATATCTTCTCTTTCCATGTACCACAACCCCGTAAAGAAACACTCCGTGCTCCTCGGGGCAATCAAGTAGTCATGACTGACCCAGTTGCAACCAGCTGTCATGTGACAATGCTTCTGAGACTTTCTGGCTTAAAATAGGATGAACTGCAGGTTGTGCTTTTAATACATCTACAGCATATACAGCCACCATTGTTTTCAGTATTAGTAACCTGGGCAATGGAGGAATGTTGCAAATGTTATTTCCAGGTTGTTCCAATTTTTGTAAAACACATAATCAATGAAATTCATCTTTTGTTTCTTATTTTATGCTTTATAGCATTACAGCTGTGTCATACCAAACAGAATACCTTTCTGAGCTCTCTCCTCCCGGCCATGGCTGTGCTGTTTGCACAGAAGTGTGACACTTTATATTACAAATGGGGCCACAGTGAGTAAAAATGTAGAGAAGCTGCTTAGAGTTCAGGGGGTTAAATGTAAATATCAGCTATTTTGCTTCAGCTGATATTACTGTAGAGAGAATATCTTCCATTTTTTAGGCTCTGAGACCTTGTGACACAATTTTGCACCTTACTTCTTAAACCAGCACAATTTGCACGTTTCTTTGCGTGTTGCTTTGCAAATTAACTTCCTTTTTTTTCTTAAATGTAACATGCATGCTGATCTAATTTATTTGATTTTAATCTCTAGACAAGTAGGTATACATAATCCCATCACCACTGTGACAAACACACAAACAACATCAAATTAACTCATGATTATTTCTCTCCTTCTGCTATTCACGAGTTGTAATTATTAAGCTGAGAATTAAAGCCTCGCTGGCTAAATCTGTTCTTCTGTTATTGTTTATCCTGGATTACAGTCTGTCCACTTAGCAGGCATGAAGAGGCAGCCAGTGATCTGTGGCAGGTCATGTCATTTACTTGGCGTCCCTTGATGACTTCTGCATCACTTGCAATGCCGCGTGGCAACAAGAGGCGAATTCTGAGAAACGCTTTCATTTTAATCAAACCAGCACTACCTTGCTGATTGTTAATCATCTGAATCCTCCACATAATGAAGGACATTTAAGAATCACACCCCTCGCATTCAAAGAGCATACTAAATGAGCCGTTTGCCTAAATTGTGGCATTATTGTCAAACTGAAAATAATGACCTGCGGTGAGGTGGGGAGGGAGGGGAGATATAGTCAGATATCAGTAAATAAACACCAGACTGCTGGCATTTGGAAATATTAAATTGCTTCTATAAAACATTGTATTGCAGCACAATATATCAACATGAGGAAACGGGGCCTTTAAACATTAAGATGAATGGCAGTAAGCAGAGACGGTCAGGATGAAGAAGTAGGCAAGAAAGGGGGAAAAGGGAACAGAGGGGAGGTAGTGTATAGAGAAATGCAGTATATGTCTCAAAGTGTTAGACACATTCTGCAGTGATTTTACTGTCTATTGAAGCAGAAAGCACTGAACTTTAGGATGAAATATTAATAGCATGGAACAGGGAAAAGCTTGGATAAGAAAAAGCGGACATGATCTTTCACTCTTCTACGTCAAGGCACAGTCCATTTGAACCTCAGGGACCAAACGGGAGTGTTTATATGAATGTTAATGCCACTCTTCTTGGCAGAGGTTATGTTATAGCAATTGATGATAAAAACAATGATTAGGAGGAGTGCATAAAATAGAAAACGAATGGTCGACTGGCAGGCTGTTTAGCTACTTTAGAGCTTATGTCTTATCTTGAACCTGACAAGGCGACCAGGACTCAAAGGAGGCAAAAAATATTAGACTGCTGTCACAAATGCCATTACAGGATGTTTCATCATTTTAATCTTCACTCACACATATTCTACAGCCACGGAGATAGAAAGCAGCCAACAGTTAAGTGGTTGATCTGATAACGGCGATGCTTACTCCTTCTGAAGTGAGGGGGGTTGTCGTTGACATCGCTCAGCCTCACTGTGACGGTTGTAGTCCCTGATAGTCCGCCCAGATGCCCCCCCATGTCTTTGGCCTGGAGGACGACCAGATATTCATCCTGAGTCTCTCTGTCCATGTCAGGTATGGCAGTCCGAAGGACGCCTGGTGGAGAGCAGAGCGGGACGAGGAGCAAAAATCAAGACAGCAACAGATTTCGCTGTGACACGACGTCTCTTGACATTATCATCAAAGCGAGTCAGACGCATACATTTTAGAATCAGGGAGTTGTGAAACATATGACTCCGGGCCGCATCTGTTTCTGAACAGATCATATAAAATGCAAGTTGATGCAAATGTTCTCATCCACACTGGGGACATTGTAGGAAAGGGTACAACATATGATCTCTAAGAGCACCGACGGGATCAACTATGTAAAGCCATCAGCTGTAGAGGCATTTTATCAAACAGCTCTAAAGGCCATGTGTGCTACATGAGAGGACATGAACAGACCTGTCTGAGGGTCCACAGAGAAAAAGTCCTGGCCCTGAGTTATGGCGTACACCAGCCGGGCGCTGTTTCCATATGTTGGATCATCCGCATCCCTGGCTGTGACTTGGATGATAGACGTGCCTGTGAAAGAGAGGAGGCATGACACAGGTGACACAGCAAAGGGGCCTTTTAAATTGGAGTCGCTAAAGCGGGCGACTGGTTTATGAGCTCAATGATACTTCACCCTAAATATATCCACACTCCTGCTGAGCTGCCTTAAAGCCTGAATTTCACCCACAGGGATCGATAGAGTGTTATCTTACTCTAAATCTATCCTTTGAATATCCGATGCTTAAATATGAAGGATTAAAAAGATAATCCAGTTCTCAGCTGTCTGTCCATATGCACAGAATGAAAGAACACATGTAGCAAAATACCCAGTTACAGTATAGTACAGTTATCCTTGTTGAAGTTCTACCACAGGGAGTGTATTTAGCCACTTTGGGAGGAATATTTGGCTACATCCTGCATGAAGGGGCTCAGTGTTGAACCTAGTCACAGTGATTTAACTGGTTTACCTGCTGAATTCGGGCAAGGTTTAACGTCAATTGTGATTGGCTGCTATCTGTGCAACACTGATTGTTCACGTATGCAGAACAAAGCATATGTGGTCAAACTAAACAGTCCTGTCTTTAAGCCCTTAGTTACCTAAAAATGTGTTATGTACAAAATCTACTTAAAGGACGAATAATAAAAACACACATTTTGTAGAACAATGTTCAGTATCAGAGTTTTGATATTATATATCATGTTTTTATCATGTTTGCTACATAATATGCACGTTGCTGTTTATTGCAGATGTTTCAAGGCCAACTCATGCTTTCCATGCCCATGTGTTCTCAAGGGTCAGCAGGTGTACGCATGACATAAACTACGTCATCCACCCAAGGCAGTGAAGGTGACCCTACGGTGGACGTCCGTTTGCAGCCCAAAATTTGTGACTATGTTGACTGACCACACTGCACATGTGCCAGAAAAGGAATGGTGTTTAAAACAAACGCTTGTTGGTACGATGAACTGACAAGAAGATTCTTGGTCATCCACACCTTCACAATTAAAAGAGTTGTAATTGAAGCAGTCGTTGCCAGATTTGGAGGTGCTTTAAGATGAAAATGCTCTCCATCAACGGTGACCAATCACCGTGGGAAGTTCTAAATTCTCCAGAAATCCTGTGCTATTTCCACCCGCTGTGCTCGGAGCACTTTGGCAATGATCAGTTTACCACGGTGCTACAGAACAATCTGTGCCTTGCTGCTATATCTTGTAAAAATTGCAGTGTCACAGCCAGCCTTTCAGAAACATCCACAGGAGTGTTTTTCAGTGCTTGATATAAGGAGCAATGTGACCGCCTCCACAGCAGACTGACGTTTACCTGTTGTCGTATGAAAAGAATCATAATGTGTTTCTGCAGTCTGCTTTGAAAGTCTGCATCGGTCATACGGAAATCACAAAACAGTCTTAAGGTTGATTTAATTTTAACTACTTTCTATACTGTTGGGGATCTTACCACAAACTTTTAAAATCTGAAACATACATAAAGAAAAGAACCTCACATTTGTGTTTAGGTACAGTATTTGAGTAAATACACTTAAGCTACATTCCACCACTGGAACTCTTGGAACAAAGGTCTACACTGTGGCCACGATCCCCACTGGATGAAAACAAAGCAGCAAAAATTACTTATGAGTGGAAGACATGTAGAAACATTGTGAACTGAGTAACTGATACCGTACATAGAGCCAGCACAGGTATATACGAGGTGTGTCAGAAAAATTCCATAACTAGTGTCACAAAAGATATATTTCCAACCCAAACTACAAGTTTTCCCCTTCAGACCATCAACCAGCACGTCTACAAAGAGATCCTGCGGCGTTTGCTTCGTTCAGTGCAAAGAGAAGAGGTGAGAGTTGTGGCTGGACAAGTCGAGGCTGCTTCACCATGACAACGTGCCTGCTCATAATGCCCTGAGCATCCGATAGTTCCTAGCTGAGAAGAATGTCGCTGTGCTGGAGCTACCTCCCTACTCACCCCATCTGGCTCCCTGTGGTCTTTTTCGTCTTCCCCGAGCTCAAAGGGGTCATCAAGGGGACCCGTTTTGAAGACGTGGATGACATCAAGATGGCTGTGACGACAGAGCTGCGGAGGATCCTGGAAGAATCCTTCCAGGAGTGCATGAAGGCGTGGCAGAGAAGGCTGGGAACGTGTTAAGACTCCAGGGGGATTACTTTGAAGGGGAAAACATGTAGTTTGTAGTTTGGATTTGATATATATATCTTTTGTGACACCAGTCCTGGAACTTTTCTGACACACCTCGTACATTTTCTGAACTTTTTAACCCTATTCAAACCCATGGCCAAAACTGTCCGCTTGCCACTGTAGGTATTTTTTGAGTAGAAAATAGTACTTACTCTAGAGGAGGTACTTCTGACTGGCCCTGACAATGGCTGTGTGGGTCTTGGCACTGACTGGTTAAACTCAGAGAGGACAACGGTCACTATTTTCTCTGCCCTCTCAATGTCATTGTCAGTACCATTCCCATCAGCAATGTAAAATGTACCGTATAGACTAACTTACAAATGTCTATTGTTTTATTTCCTTTGCGTTCATAGAACTGGAGTTAAGCTGCAAGATCTTACATTGCACTGGAAACAGAAAGGCTGAAAGAGCAGATTAGAGGGCTGTTCCTGTAAACATTCGTGCTATCTCTCACCTGCCCTGAATTCCTGCGCTGCAAAGCCACCTAATTAAATTAACATTTAACCCCGCCCGAAATCAACTTCTAAACCAATCAAGTCACAGTTGGTGGGATCAAGCGTTTGATGTTGAACCCTGCTCTGTTCGGCAGTCTGCAGCCAAGAAAACTTGGACAGTCAGTCTGACATAAATGTGAGTTTGTCAAGAATACTAAGGGTATAAATATGACAGCTGGGAAGTTGACTTTGTTATAAGATGTTGTTTAGTCATGCAAGCAGAAAACTGACAATGTCAGTCTGTTAGTCTGTCAGTTAGACCACTGCTTTAATCCTGACGGAAAATCCTTGACATCTATTGGATGGGTTTTCCTATAAATCTGGTGTTGCACAAAAGATCACTCTGAATGTTGGTGAGCCAAAGAGTTTCATCATTACTTTATGATCAAACATCTGCAAAGCAAATGGCATTCCTCTCAATCTGACTGATGTGTTTGCTGCTTATTAGCAAAGGTTAGCACACTAATGGGCTAAACTACAACAGCAACTATTATATCTGTTAAAAATTAGCATGTCAACATCGTCACTGTGTGTTAAAGCCGCAACAATTATTTGATCATTCTATCAGTTGTCAACTACTAAATTAATCTGCAACTATATTGATGATCGGTCAGTTGGTTTCAGTATTGTTTTAACCAAAAATGTCTAAATTCTTTAATTCCATCTTTCTATAATTGAATATTTATTTATAAGATGTTTTTTTTTTTTACTCTTTGATGACAGCAAACAGATTATTTTTGGGTTTTAGACAAAAGTCATTTGTCATGTTGGGCTTTTAGAAACCTTGATTGACATTTTTCAACATTTTCTGACATTCTCTCGACCAAACAACTCATTTAATAATAGAGGAAATAACTGTCAGATTAACAGACAATGAAAGTAATTGTTACTATGCTGAATTTGCCTACATGTAGCCTGTAGGATGTAAACATTGAGGCTGTGTCTGAAATCATTTCTTATCTATTATATAGCATGACATCTTTTTATTTCTCCAGTGTCTACATGGAGTGTCCAAGTCTCCATATAAAAAAAATCCCCAAAACGAAACAAAAACTTTTCATGCTTACAATGACACAATGTAATATACTGAATTTTATAGACGCCAAAATTACTCTACACCTGTTAGAGATGTCGACGATTTCAGACACAGTTTCAGGTGTTTTTCTGTGAAAGTTATCTCCACTGGAATCCATTCTGAACGACATGAATTCAAACTGAGCAAAGCGGCTGCTCTCCATGAGGGACAACGCTCCTAACATTTCACTGCCACCTGTCAAGAGTTTTCACTTTACTGCTGTCGTGGCGCTTTACCTATGTTGGCCATCTCTGGCACCATGGCAACGTAAGGCTCATTTGGGAAGACGGGCGGGTTGTCGTTGATGTCCTGCACTCTGATGATGAACTCAGAGGAAGGCTCCAGTGCTCGGCCGGACTCACGGTCCGTGGCTGTCGCGATGAGACGGTACTGGTCCTTCTCTTCCCTGTCCAGAGACTTGGTGACATGTATGTTGCCAGTGTTGCCGTCGATCACAAACACAGAGCCCACCCCCTCTCCCTCCAACATGTATTTAGTGTGTCCGTCTCCTTTGTCCATATCAGTGTGCAGCTGTAAAAATCAAAGACGTGCAGAGTAAATTACTGTGACACCTTCAGGCAACATCACCTTCAGATGCAGTACGCTGTTGCAGGTATCGCTCATTAACACTCCTCTATTTGTCTGGCAAGTGCTGCGAACCTGACTGTGTGAAATGGGTGATTTATGTTAAGTTGGGATGTGCTCAGTGAGTCTGAAATGAATGGCACCAGGTGTGGAGGATACATATGGGACCAGGATGAGTAGTGATGCATACAGCTAATTAACTCATTGGACCAAACATGCCATCAGGGGTTTGTTGGGGGCAAATCCACATCAATGTGGACGGTGGCCCTGCGAATGTTATACATATATGTTCGCAGATGCATTCAGTGAGAGCATTCAGCATCCATCTGTAAATCTTTCCATCTCTTCTATCCATCTGTCCCTTCCTTCGCCTCCTTGTAAATCCATCTGCCCGACTTGCCTGTACCTTTTAAACCACCTCTTTTTCTAGTCCTTGTTTCTCTCTCTCTTTTCATCAAGTTACCTCGGTTACACAGAATGCCCATCTGCTCACATTTCTCATTCCCCCCCTCTCTCTCTCTCTCTCTCTCCCTCTCATACTATCTGTTTTGCTCTCTGGTGCAGAATACTGGTTCTGTATTTAATGGCAGAGAGGATATTAGTGTGAGCTAGATAGGTAAAAGGCCAAATACACAGAAATAGAAAGCTAAAGAGATTACTCAGCCTTCATCACATTGAGCTTTCTGACCAGGAACCTTCACATCGCTCTATCCTTAAGGCGCATCTGCACATGTTCATAATCCATGCGGCTTACTCACAACCTCTGCTGTGGACCTTAGATACACATGAGAACTAAAGCCTTGACTTTAAAATACAGCTGCAACATTGTCTGTTTACAAATGGCGAGGGGAACATTTCAACGGATTTTTTCGCGCGTCACGTTCGTTCCGTGGCATGAAAATTGTGCAATAAAGACAAATTTAATTGCCTACATAATGACAAGCGTTGAATTAGTTTAATCGTTTGTATGCTTCGTACAGATGAGTATCTACATACTGCAGCATACAGCTGTGCATATTAACAACATATGTTCGGTGCAAGTCACACATTTTACATCATGCGTGCAGGGGAAAAAATAAGATTAGTGTATATTCTGTGTGCGTATGTGTTAGGGGATGAAGTTGGGATTATAGGAACTCATGATAGCATACCCTACAAATTGCTAGATAAGGGACTCAGGGCTTTTTCTTTTTTTTTCATCCCTCCATCCACACCCCTCTCTCTCCTTTCTTCCTTAAAGCTAGCTTTGATTTTGATCCCACACTTCACCACGAGAGACATCTTTGTCAGAGTCTGTGCCTACCTCGCTTCCCTGCTCTTTACCACCACCCCCTCCACCCCTCTTCCCACTTTCTATCCAGACCTCCTCTCCTCACTGTCTAATTGCTGGCTCAGTCCTGCTGTGCTTCAGTCAGCATGGAAAAACACTCTCACGGTGGGGAAGAAATTCATCCACCCCTTACAAACAAAGCAAGAAAAAGACGAAACTGTGCCTTCCAGTCCCTTTGTCACTTTCCCTCTCAGTCTGTAATCTCAATTTTCCCCCTCCTCTCACTCGATGCAGTACATCCACCTCCGGGTTTATATCTGCTTCTTTCTCTGGCAGCTAAAGTCTTTCTTCTTCTTCTTCTGCACGGGTTGAGGCACCTGCGATCTGAACTGTTGATAGCTCACCTCAAACCTTGCACCGGCAATGGGTTTGACACGATCATCTCTCTATTTTTGGCAAACAAAGTGGAGCCGCCTCTGAGAGAAAACGTTATGCTTTCAACCCCCTCACAATGCAGGGATAGTTTATTGCATGAATATCAACATCAAGACTGCGCTTGCAGAAGCATGAGCAGTCCCGTGTGTCCGCTGATTGCTTTAACACCCCTCCCTGACTGTATCAATAACAACCAGAGAGGAAGATTAAACATTTATGAGGTGTATACTGCACTGGTAAGAATCCAATCTAGACTGTCACTATAAAGTATACTGCTAGCTACAAAGTGGCTGGCAGCATTCCCTGTTAGCGTTACAGCTGATATAATCCTACTCTGAGTATACTGTAGCTGCCAGCAGCTGCATTAGTGTGGAGCGCCTGACTGTGAAATACTCCAAGTGAACCCCTGGGATGGAATGGTTCAGGTGTGCTGTGGATTAAATCATCTCAGACACTTTTCGTGTAGCGACACCGACAGCAGTTGAAGGTTGCTGGTGTGGCGACTGTGAAAACTCATGTAAATGACATGAAAAGTGGGGATGCTGAAACACTACAATTAGTCTTGTGCCTCATTCCTGGGCACATGATAGTACATTCTGAGCACAAAAAAAAAGATTTTTTGCAAGCACATAAATCGTATTTTTAGGGATATAACAAAAAAAATATCCGTTTTCTCTTCGTTACAGGTGTTTGCTGTTTTCTAGCACCAGTATCATCATTGTAAGTGCACAGTTTGCTCATTTGTCCTCGCTCGGTAACAACTAACATCCGTGCAGCTGCAGCACTGGCTGTTTGGGGGTGACAAAGCACTATAGAGATCAAATTAGTGCGATTAATACAAGGTGAAACTTTGCCTTTCGAGCAACCCAACAGCAAAGTGCTTGAGGCACATATCAAACGGGCAACTTCACTGCATGTCATTTCCCTGCTCTTTTTCCCCTCATTACCTGCCTCTCTTCACCGTCTGCCAACTATAACATATAGTTTAGAGTTTTGGTTAGTTACCCAGATATAGGAGTTTTTGTCTGCACTATATCACGCCTACAAACTGGCTATTTTAATAGGTAGTTTGCCAAATTCTTACTAAACTAGCTGGCTAAATTGACAATTCCACCTACACAGCCACGGCATTAAACCTGCAGCATGGTCTTTCCCTTCCGGCAGTGAGAGTAATTACACAAACACTGTTGATGCACACTTAGGTTTCAGACTGCGATCCTTCTTCTACACACCACTTTTGTTTTTGATCTGGAGCATGCCAAACGTTTCTTGGATGCTTCTTGACTATTTTTTACTGTATGCTCCACCATACTAGCTGTTGTAGTCTACTCCATCTCCATCACTAAAGTTGTTTCCCTCATCCATCCATCCATCCATCCAGTATCTGTACACCGCTTAATCCTCACTAGGGTCGCAGGGAGCTGCAGTCTATCCCAGCTGACTTAGGGTGAAGGCAGGGGACACCCTGGACAGGTCACCAGTCTATCACAGGGCTACACTTAGAGACAGACAACCAAGCACACTCACATTCACACCTACAGACAATTTAGAATCACCAATTAACCTCAGCATGTTTTTGGACTGTGGGAGGAAGTCGGAGAATCCGGAGAGAACCCACGCTGCACGGGGAGAACATGCAAACTCCACACAGAAGAATCCCGGGTGTCCTCACCGGGACACACAAACTGACCTTCTTGCTGCGAGGCAACGGCGCTAACCACCGAGCCACCTTGCAACAATCGTAGCCGATTAATGTCCTTCTACCGGTACATCAACGCCAGTGTGTCACTACAGACCCAGACCTTTCATTTGAAACTTGCACTTATACAGAGAAATTCAGACAAATTCATCTGGCTCCGATCGGACTAATCAGCCTTGTGTAAATTTCTTTGGTATTCTTTCATTTGCAAAACTCCCACACTTCAAATTTAATATCAAAATCGAGAAGTTTCTTTAAAAACAAAAAAAAAAGAAAAAAGAAAAAAGTGCTACATTTAATATTAACCGTGTCCGTGAATTTAAATACATTTAAACCAAAGATATAATTTTGTTGGACAGTGTGCTACATCAAATTTTAACTCCATGCTAGAAGGTGGTTCCTGTATTGGTGAGTCAGCTAGCGATGTTAGCATTATTCATATGTTGAAAAAATATCTGGGAAAAAAAATCCTTCATTGGGCTGTTTCTATCCGCGGTGATTATTCAAATATTAGCAGTTGGGTCACTGAGACAAACAGCTAGAGGCACTTATTCTCTGGATGGTGCCATTGCTGAAGATGTAGGAGGAGATAAGAGGATGCGTTTAAAGAAGTACCAGTCAAACCTAAAATCATGTAGAAAACATGATGCATTGATGTTTGTTTCATGAATTCATTTAAGTAAACCTACAGCTTTTTCTTCATCCTACACAGTTATTTTCTAGGCTTTTTCACTAAGGCAGACGCTTCAGTGGCTGTTCAGCTCCCATGATTCATTTATATCATGATTTATTTCCACAGCACTTTGTCGCATTTTTATGCCTCTATGCCGATGACAGCCAAGTCCGGCAGCATTATGTTTTTGGGCTGTCTGTCCATCCGGTGCTTGTGAATGCCAAGAGCAAATTTCTTAAAATTTGGCACAAACATTTGTATGGACCCACAGATGAACTAAGTAGATGTTGGTGGTCAAAGGTCGAAGATCACTGTGACCTCACAAAGCACAGTTACAGCCATAACTCAAGAATCCATACACTAATTATGACAAATTTGACACAAATGTCTAAAAGGATAAAATGATGCCGTGATGACATTTTATCTTGACAAAGGCAAAGGTCAAGCCTGAACAGACAGGGACGTAAACCGCAACTTGACTTGGTAGGCACAAGCACACCAGTGCAAGGCTGTAACTCTATTATTGGTACACCAGTTTTTCCATATCAGCCAAGAGCAGAAACTTTATTTATTTCTATTTTAGCTGTATGAACTACTGAGGTGAGGCTGTGGTGCTGCTTATCATTCTGCCAGTGCTTCCCTGCCTCCCTTGTAACCAATAACACTGCAAGAAATGACAGCTGTTTTGAAATTACCAACTTCAATTTCCAGCTTTCAGATTGGTTGGAATTGCGGCATTCTGTCAGTCAAACCTGAGCGCACAAAGAGCAGAGATGCTGACTGGAGGACAACGTGAGAACTTACGACCACATAGAGCAGGAAATGGAGAGTGAATGAGTGAAAGTGACTTAAAAGGT